ATGATCCTACTGTTATAGGGCATGGATCTCTGTGTGTGTATCTTCCATTAAGATGTTGCATTTCATGTTTCCTTGCAAATGCCTTTTACTTTTAGTTGCTCCATGGGATCTCCGCACTTTAACTGTATTATAAACTTGATGATGAAAAAACATTCAATCTATGCTGATAGATCCTTCTGTTATCAGCAGTGGATTTACAGCTCTAATGAGGGGGAGCAGGTGAGACTATGACGGGGACTGCTTTTGCAGCACTTTCTCCTGTGTCTAGCACAGACTGCTGAAGACAGCATAAAAGGTACAGGTATAATCAGTAAGTGATTGATTATCTTAATTTTGACACAGATTTATACCATGAGCCAGTATGGTGTAGGAATCAGAGAGTCAGACTAGTGGGAAACCCAGTTTGGAATCCCCACTCTGCTATGGAAACTTGCTGGGTAGCCTTAGGCCAGGTACATATACTGAGCCTGACATACTGCACAGAGTTGTTGTGAGGATAAAATGAAGGAGCGGAGAATGATGTAAGCCACTTTGGGTCCCCACTGGGGAGAAAGGTGAGATATAAGTGAAGTAATAAATAAATTTTAGGTGATTTGAACCCAGAAAGATTCAGTGTTGTCTGTCTTTTTACATTCCAGTTTGTAATGTAAGCCAGTTTGGTGTAGTGGTTAAGTGTGCAGACTCGAATCTGGGAGAACCGGGTTTGATTCCCCACTCCTCCACTTGCACCTGCTGATGTGACCTTGGGTCAGTCACAAGGTCTGGCACAGCTGTTCTTGAAAAAGAGCAGTTTGTGTCAGAGTTCTCTCAGCCCCACCCACCTCACAGGGTGTCTGTTGTGGGGAGGGGAAGGGAAAGGAGTTTGTAAACCGCTCTGAGACTCCAAGTGAAGGGTGGGGTATAAATCCAATCTCTTCTCTTCTTCTTCTACATTCAATCCACTTGGGAGTCAAAATTCACACTGGTGGCTCAACCGGGCCTTCACCCACTTAGATTTTACTTGACTTTGGGTGTGTTTGAGATAGATTTCAGAGTTTGTTTTATACCAATAGTGACACCAAGTTTTATTCAGTGATTGTTCTAATGGTGGGAAAGTGCTGTACTTGGGAAATGTCACCCTACGATCTCTGCCACTGAGTGACAAAGTTATACCTGGAAGGGACGCAGGTGGGGGAGGGAGGTAGATTCCTTCCCCCACTTTCGGGAGGCAACTCCAAGCTTGTGGGGAAAGAGGCTTACCTGTCCTTTTCCCAATCAACATGGCAAGTATTTAGACAACAGCAGCAGCAGCAAATGTATTTTCCTGTTTATAAGGCCATGCACCTTCCATATTGTGCTAAACAACAGATCAATCACTTCTACACTACATTACACTAATGCTACATGGACAGATTCTCATTTGCAAGGCAAGGTGCTTCTCGGAAAATTCTGTCACCCAAGAACAACAGAAGACCATTTTACTAGCAGAGGACAAGGAGGTATACTATGCTCTCAAAGCCAGTCTTTGCTTATTTAAGACAAGTGAATTTCTCTTTGTCAAAAGGCTCAACTCTATAACCATGCCAAATCACCATACAGAAGTGTAACTAAGATCTGATGCAATGTCAGTATTGACAAACCATGGTTTGCAATCAGCCAGCAAATCACAATACAAACACACAGTTCGAAGGTGGTTTAAGAACTACGGTTTTGCACATCTGAATTGGCAAATTAACTGCAGCAGTCACTTCAACTCCAAAATCTATCGCATCAGGGAGGCAGGCGTGAACTTCTACAACTGACTAATGAGAGAATGATAAAAGCAAGCAAACAGCTCTAAAACCCTGGCCTACCTGTTGTCTGGAAATGCAAACCACTGCCTGCTTCCTAATCAAATTATGGCTTCTGCTTGCCATCCAAGCCAAACCAGAAAACATTGTCTTACCATGGCTTCCAGTTCTGTTTTGGAGGGCAAATGCAACTCACAATTTGCTGTTTTGGAAGGAATGAAAAATTACTGTGAGGTGCAGAAGTGATTGGCGCATAGGAGGGGAAGAAAAAGTACACGCCCAAGTGCACTCAAGGTTACACCAATTAGCAATCCGATGTTGCATGTGAACCAAACCAAAGTGTCAATCGGGAAACAATACCAGGTTTTTTTACGCTAAGCACTGGCAGATTGGTGAGCCAGTTTGGTGTAGTGGTTAAGTGCGCGGACTCTAATCTGGGAGAACCGGGTTTGATTCCCCACTCCACTTGCACCTGCTGGATGACTTTGGGCAAGCCATACTTCTGGCACAGCTGTTCTTGAAAAAAGAGCAGTTTCTGTCAGAGCTCTCTCAGCCCCACCTACCGCACAGGGTTCCTGTTGTGGGGAGGGGAAGGGAAAGGAGCTTGTAAACTGCTCTGAGACTCCTTTGGGTAGTGAAGGGCAGGGTATAAATCCAATCTCTTCTTCTTCAGATAAATAAATCACACACACTATTGGGTATGGGCAGCTGAAGGACTGTCGTTTTTTCATCTTGTGTGCACACACTGCAGCTGCAATTTTTTTCAGTGTGTGCGTGCAGAGAAACAACACTTAACGAAAAAAACGCTCTTTCAAATATTCACTTGATCATAAATACATATGGCCTTACAGAGCAAAGCAGCAAAACAAACTCATGTAAGGGAAGCGGCAAGCTTAGATTAGCATGCACCATCTTTCTGCCACAGTTAGTTTGATGTGAGAGGATTAGAATGTAATTTCTGAAAGCCTTTGTTTTAGTGATAAAAGAATAAGACTGAACAAGTAATTTAGATTAAGAAGGAAAAAAGTGCTCAGATAGGGGAAAAAATCCTACTGAGGCAATTGTTTTATTTTAAGTACTGAGCCAGAACCATTTAAAAAATAATCCCACACATCACATAAAGGTCATGCAAACTCCTCATTACTGAACATTTATTTAGCTGAAATATAATGAAGCAGATCAGCTGAAAGCTTCAACATCGAGCGATTCTGGTTTGTGCAGGTGTGGAGCTAGCAAAGTGAGCAAAAGAAGGAAATATCTGGAAAAGAAATCACAGTAGCCCCACTCAGATGCCACCAGCAAGTCTGTGCCACTGGGGACATGCTCTAGGCTCCCACATCCATATCCCTGTGCACATGTAAATTCTCTCCTCCACTTCCTGGCTCAAGGTAACCAAGTTTACTGACATACCCAAACCAGGCATATTATAGAAGAAGAAGAAATTGAATTTATACCCCACCCTTCACTACCTGAAGGAGCCTCAGAAAGGCTTACAATCCCTTCCCCTTCCCCTCCCCACAACAGACACCCTGTGAGGTAGGTGGGGCTGAGAGAGCTCTCTCGAGAACTGCCCTTGAGAGAACAGCTCTGAAAGAACTTGTGACTGACTGAAGGTCACCCAGCTGGCTGCATGTGGAGGAGTGGGGAATCAAACCCGGTTCTCCCAGATTAGTCCGCATACCTAACCACTACACCAAACTGGCTCTCAAGAAAGTCCAGTGTCGCTACACAGAGGCAGGCAGTGGCAAACCACCTCTGGTCATCTCTTGCCTTGAAAGCCCTACGGGAGCACCATAAGACAATTGTGACTTAATGGCCCTTTCCTCCACCACCACATGAAACTGAAAAGCCCCACAAACTTTGTCTGGCCATCAAAATGAAAGGTCATTAGATTGCTAATGCCTTGAAGTTGTCCTGAGATCAAGATCAGGGTACTCTGTGACTCCCCAAATCTGAGGAGAAATTCAGAGGAAACAGCTCTGAAAGAACTTGTGACTGACCCAAGGTCACACCAGCAGCTGCATGTGGAGAAGTGGGGAATCAAACCCAATTCTTCCAGATTAGAGTCCATGCTCCTCACCACTACACCAAACTGGCTCTGTCATGGCTCAGGTCAGGTGACAAAGCACAAAAACCACTGACTAGAGATAACCAATATATGAAATGTGTAAAAACAATTTAATAATGCAAAAATATAATTATATAACAATATTGGCCAAGGTGTAACCAAGATACAGAAAGAAGAATAAACGGAAAGAAAAATAAAGTCCCAAGTATTTTACTGTGTCTCACTCCAGTAGGGTTGTAATATCAAAGTCCCATTTGACGCCATGGAGTGGACATTTCAGAAGTTCCATAAGCCATAAAAAGCCATGACGCGTAGTCCGGATGCTGGCTGCCGCGTTTCGAGTTGTTCTTATTCAAAAGCAATAGGCTATAAGGGGACCCAATCTCAGTAGAAGACACATACAAAGCCAGTATAATCAGTCAGAGTAAACAACAAATAAAAGGTCTATTTTTACAGGAGATCAGCCCAATATGGGAAACAAACAAGGTGCAAGAACAATAACTATAAGTGGGTGAAGAGAAATGAAACTGCCCTAATGTGACTAGACTCACAGTCCCTAGCTCACTGTCTCAGTTGGGCCTCAGTCTGCTCACCCTTCCTCTCAGGGTGAGGGTCTCTCCCAGCAGCAGCCTTCCTTCTGGCCCTGCTCTCTGGGAAGAAGAACAGCGCTTCTTCTGTACCAACTCTTTTATTATAAGTCCCCTTTCTCTGTGATTGGCTAAAATTGGCGCCAAAACCTCTCAGGGACTTCTGGGAGTTGTAGGCCTGGCCTCCTCCCACTCCTAGGCCTTTACTTGTACAGCCCAAATCATGACAGGCTCTAACTATATTTTCAGAAATAGCCGTGTTGGTCTGCAGTAGAACAGCAAGATCCACGTCCAGTAGCACATTAGAGACCAACAAGGTATCATCAAGTATCTGATGAAGGGAGTTTTGACTCTTGGAAGCTTAAATCCCGAGAATCTTGTTGGTCTCGAAGGTGCTGCCGGACTCCAATCTAGCTAGACTGACTATAGTTTGCCTCCAAGTCGAAATCAGAAACAAATCACACTAACAGGGAAGAGGGAGTGCATGAGCCCACAGATCTTTCCCAACAGCCAACCCAAAGTTAGGCCAAGATGTCTGCACTTGGGCAGCGAGTCAGAAAGATTTCAAATACTTACAATTCGGTAGATCTCTTCACTTGGACCATCAAATTTCTGCTGCATTCGTTCTTCCAGAAAATATATGCGCAGTTTCAGGTTGAAGTTTTCTTTTCGCAGCTCGATGATTTGCTGGGGCAGAAGGGAAAAGACGATGGGAGAGATCCATGACACAAATAAGCAACACAGGGTTTGACTCCATCTAAATTCTGGGCCCAAAATGGGCAGTTTTCACAGTGGAAGGGAGTAAGCAGTGGGGTACCACAGGGCTCGGTACTAGGTCCGGTGCTTTTTAACTTGTTCATTAATGATTTGGAATTGGGAGCAAGCAGTGAAGTGGCAAAGTTTGCAAATGATATTAAGTTGATCAGGGGCAGTGAGAACCAGGGAGGACCGTGAGGAGCTCCAGATGGATCTGTCAAGGCTGGGCAAGTGAGTGTCAACGTGGCAAATGAGGTTCAACATAGGCAAATGCAAAGTAATGCACACTGAAGCCAAAAATTCTAGCTATAAACACGTTGATGGGGTCCGAACTGGCAGTAACTGACCAGGAGAGAGATCTTGGGAGTTGTCAGAGATAACTTACTGAAGATATTGACTCAGTGTGTGACTGCAATAAAAAAGGCAGGGGATTATTAAGAAGGGGACTGAAAACAAATCAGCCAGTACCATAATGCCCCTGTATAAATCAATGGTGCGACCTCATTTGGAATACTGTGTAAAGCACTGGTCACTGCACCTCAAAAAAGATATTATAGCATTGGAAAAGGTGCAGGGACAACTAAAATATTAAGGAGATGGGACACCTTCCCTATGAAGAAAGGTTAAAGAGGTTAGGGCTTGTTTGTGGCAAAGATGAGATAGATTACAAAGGGAGACCTCTCAGATCACAGATGTTCATCACTAGCCTATACTATCAGGCACGCAACTATGCCTGTACTGTAGATGTTCTATAGATTAGTTTACGTTCATGACTTCTCCAAAATATCCTGGGAACAAAAGCCATCATGCGGCCATTATTTTAAATGTCTCTAGCCACCATTTCCAATTGAGGTCAAGGTGGATCACAACAATTATGAGAATAATAAAACAAAGTTTGTTGAACACAGGCCCCGGTCACACGGGGGAAATTGACGCGGCCAAAGTGCAGCTTTTTAGAGCCGCACCAAGAAACACGCGGCGGCGGGATCAAACAGATCTCCTGAGCCGCCACGCAGTTGCTCCCCGGCACGATCAGATGCCGGGGGGGAAGCCACAGAAGGAAGAGCGAGGCAGCCGGCTGCGCATGTGTGCGCATGCGAAGTTCGGCCGGGAACCTCGAATGCTCCTGAAGATGGGCAAGCCAGCGATCCCACAGCCGCGCTTGCTGCGGCATTTCAGGTTGGTCCTACTATTTCCTCAGGGTTTTTTTACTGCGTGTTTTCGGCCTGAAGGGACGGATCGGGGACGGGTGCACATCGCTTCCCAGATGTTGCTGTGTGATCGCACCCGTTTGCTGCGCCCCCGATCCGTCCCTCTTGCGGGCTAAAACCTCCCGTGCGACCGGGGCCTCAGTAACCAAGTTTCAAGCAGCAGCAGCATCAAAAACATCCAGCCAAACAAAACATAATCAGAGGACTGCATCACAATAAACCATGATCAAGGAGTAACAACAATTGTACCGTCAACTGTTTACCCAAAGCCAAGCGAAATGAAGCAAAGCCGTTGCCTGACATTTGAATGCTAGTAGGGAAGGCCCAGGTGAACCTCTCGAGGGAGGCATTCCAGAACTGTGGCAGCACCACAGAAAAGGCCCTGTCCCCAGCTGCCCCTTGCTTCAGCTCAATGAAGAGTCTCTGAAGAAGATCATGAATGGATGGAGCTACATGGCAGATGTTGTATACTGAAGGGGTCAAGGTCAATGTTCCCTCTAAGCTGTGGAGTCCTGTGAGCAAAAATTCTACTTTGCGAGCTACTGGCATGAAAGTTGTGAGCGAGCGATTTGGCTCCTGCATAAATTAGTTTTCTCTGGAGCCATCCCTTCCTGAGCGAAGACGAAAATGGGTGAGTCAGAGGCTATAAAACTGTGAGCTAGCTCACACTAACTCAGCTTAGAGGGAACACTGGTCAAGGTGATATATTGGGGTGACAAATTCAAATTTCTGCTCAGCCATAAAACTCATTGAGTGATCTTGGGCCAGTCAATTCCCTCTCAGCCTCATGCACCTTCCAACAACCCAATGTACCTTCCAACAATGTACCTTCCAATAGTAAAAAATGGGGGAAAGGAGAACTGTGTATGTCACCTCAAGCTTTTTAGGAGAAGGGCAGAATAAAAATGTGTTACATTAGTATGGGAGGTTTCTGTTAGAAATCTCTGTTCCTTGCTCCACAAGCAACCTCCTGGTCTCCCTAGCGAGAATGAAAAACAGTTAAACTGCTACAAGTGCAGCAGAGACTAGCTCTCAAAAAAAAGAAAAGATAGTAAGAGTCATAGACTTAAAAATGAAAACTCATTCCCATTCTTGCAGGTTTAGGTTAAAACTAGATTAATATTTCTCAAACTTTTGAAGCCACAGAAAAGAAACAGAAAATTTGGGAAAACATGAAATATATGCAGTATCAACATATGTATTTTAGTATTTCAACTAGATAAAGTGCATCATTTAGAATTTAACTAACATAATATTGTACTGTTTGCAATATTTATGGTGGAAGTTTAAGGAATTTGCGTCTTCTACAAGCAAATTTTCAAATACAACTAATAACAGAGAGAGATCTCACATGCAAGAATGCAAACTGCTGCACCATATGTTACCTTAGCACATTAATCTAGTTTGTATTATCTGACATGTAAGAAACAATAGAAGCTGAAAACAGAAAACACATCTTTACTGCAAATATTAAAGTGATTTAGACAGGAATACACAATCTCAAACAGTCACAATAGGACTACAAGCATATTTGGATAATTAGATAAACCATGAAGATAGTTTCAGAGGGTAACCATGTTGGTCTGCAACAGAACAGCTGGATTCAAACCCAGTAGCACCTCAGAGACCAGCAAGGTTTTGGGGGTATAAGCTTTCGAGAGTCAAGGCTTCCTTCATCAGAAAAAACCATAGAACTGTAACCCAGTCAACAGTGTATTATCATCCTACACTACACAATAATGCACTATCACCCTGCATCCTATAGCATATTAATTGTGGACAAAATTAGCCACATTTCACAATAAATATAAGCCTTGTATGTAAACCTTTGTCTTTTTTTAAAAAAAATCACTCGTTCCAAAAAGAGAAAGTATTTCACAAAAAGGTGTTTCAGTGTTTCCCAAAGTTCCCATTTCTACCACTTAAAATTGTACTTAAGCCCTTGGAGGGAAGGATAGGAAAGGGACTTTTTCACTTGGGGGAGGGGGCACGACTTCACATCTCTAGTCCTGACCCACTCTGGATTGTCATTAGCCCTGGAAAGGGTTTTCTCTCTCTCTCACTCACTAGCTTTCTCCCCATTCTACATGGTGAGGTAGATATACACAAAAATGAATGTTGTTGTTGTTGTTGTTCAGTCGCACAGTCAAGTCTGACTCTTCGCGACCCCATGGACCACATCACACCAGGCCCTCCGGTCCTCTGTTGTCCTCCAGAGTGTGCTTAACTTCATGTTCATTGCATTGATAACACTGTCTAACCATCTCATCCTTTGTCGTCCCCGTCTTCTTTGACCTTCAAACTTTCCCAGCATCAGGGTCTTCTCCAGTGAGGGCTCCCTTCTCATTTGGTGGCCAAAGTATTTTAGCTTCAACACCTAGCCTTTCAGAGAACAGTCAGGGTTGATTTCCTTTAGGATTGACTGATTTGATCTCCTTGCAGTCAAAGGGACTCTCAAGAGTCTTCTCCAGCACCATAATTCGAAAGCATCTATTCTTCAGCACTCAGCCTTCCTTATGGTCCACCTCTCGCAGCCATACATTACTACCTGAAGGTTGATTTCCTTTAGTCAGAGTTGACTTCCTTTAGGATTGACTGATTTGATCTTGCAGTCCAAGGGACTCTCAAGAGTCTTCTCCAGCACCATAATTCGAAAGCATCTATTCTTCGGCACTCAGCCTTCCTTATGATCCAACCCTTGCAGCCATACATTACTACTGGAAATACCATTGCTTTGACCATACAGACTTTTGTTGGCAGGGTGATGTCTCTACTTTTTATTATGCTGTCTAGGTTTCCCATCACTTTCCACCCAAGGATCAGGCGCCATTTAATTTCATGGCTGCAGTCACCGTCTGCATCGATGTTGGATCCCAGGAACGTGAAGTCTGTCACTGATTCCATGACTTCCCCTTTTATTTGCCAAGGAGTAATGGGGCCGGATGCCATGATCTTAGTTTTTTTGATGTTGAGTTTCAAGCCAACTTTTGCGCTCTCCTCTTTCATTACCTGCAAGAGGCTCTTCAGGTCCTCTTCACTTTCTGCTATTAGAGTGGTATCGTCTGCATATCTGAGGTTGTTGATGTTTTTCCCAGCAATTAATGAGAAGTATTCAAAATTCTGATACAAGGAATAGAGCAGGGGTGTCAAATATAATGTTTTAAGCATGTTTGTATTCTGAGTAAAAAATAATATTGTTAATTGGGTTAGCCTATGTCCTTTATAGGAACTGCGGTGGCTCAAGTGGTTAAGATGCTGAACTGCAGGCTGTGGAAGGTTAGTAGTTCAGCAGTTCGAGACCCAGGTGCCGCATGACAGAGTGAGCTCCTGTCTCTAGTTCCAGCTCCTGCCAACCTAGCAGTTCGAAAGCAAGAAATTGCAAGTAGATAAATAGGTACCACTTCGGTGGGAAGGTAACAGCGTTCCGTGCGGCTTGGTGTTTAGTCATGCCGGCCACATGACCACGGAAACGTCTTCTGACAGTGCTGGCTCTTCGGCTTTGAAACGGAGATGAGCACTGCAACCCTAGAGTCGGATTCAACTGGCTTTCAAGCAAGGGAACCTTTACCTTTTTATGTCCTTTATAAAGTCTATATCTCTGGTACCTTTTATTACATTTTATGGAACACATGGCTTAGCACGACGAAGTGACATTTATGTCAGATCCAGCCCTTGTACCAAATGAGTTCGACACCTCTGGTCTAGAGAAATGCCCCCCAC